AGTGGTGCTATGCAGAAGCAGTCCGAAGCAGAAGTGTCAATAAGCATGTCTTGTTTAAAACTTTAGGGGAGCAAGGGAAGGGAGTACTGAATCTTAACTTTCCCTTTCCATTGGGATTATACTGACAGTGTTAGCTCTGTGTGCTTTATCTATAGCTGTTGCCATTGTGGCCTTGAGGGGTTCCCCCTGCACACCCATAGAACGCCTGACCCAGATAAGGAGGAGAAAAAAGAGGGCTTGAGCTGACATGTTCAACGCGATCCTACAAGCCAATGCTGCATCAGACTGTGAACAGAGGGCCTAGAGAGTGAATATTGCAGACTGTATGGAGAAAGGCCCAGGAGTCCCATCAGGAAGAGGAGAGGAAGATGCACCAAGACATAATGGGGCTTCTCCAGCAGCAAATGCAGATGCTGAAGACTCGTGTGAACCTAGAGGCTCAACAGTCACAGGCTTGCCTCCCTTTGCAGTTCATGGAGAACTATAATACAGCATCTCCCTACACACCCCTCCCCACAACTTTGTACACAGCATCCGGGGCCGCATCCCTATCTCTACCACTGCACGCTGGCGGACATTAAAGACAACCACAACTTCACATATATTGACCTGTGGGAGTCACATATGATGTATGTGTAGATAAAAATGGACATGAATGTTCCTTCCCCTTCTTTAAGCTCTGTTCTATACATTTATTAAGATTTTAATGTATTTGCTTTTAACTTGTATAACCCACACACCTTCTGGGTGTGGTGTTCTGTCCCATCTAGTGGCACCAAGACCACTTAGACAGAGATATAAAATGAGTCTGCTCTACAACCTTAGCTAATAGCCAATTGGCTTTTAGTTCATGCGGTAGAAGCTCATGCACTAAGCTCCAGAGGTCCCAGGTTCGATCCAGCCTGCCGACGACCGGGGTCTGTCAGAGTTACACTTGCACAGAATTTTTTTTAAATGTTTTCGTTACTCAATAAAACTATTGCTTGGAAAATAATTCATCTTTATTAGTTCACAACATATGCTGCGGAATGACTGGCAGTAGTGAAAGCACCCACTGACTTGTTACTGGACAGTGTGACACAATTCAGAGGCTCCGTGACAAACACAGTGTAATAATCATAAATGGACAGCAAGCACCACAGAATGACTAGGTGCATTGTCAGTATTCTATTCACAAATGTACACCAAACACCATTCCTAACAGGCCCCCACACTGCAGGTAGAGCACAATACTCCACAATGCATTAGTGTGGCTCGCTGTTAAAGTGCTCTTTCAAAGCCTCTCTGAGTTGTACTGCTCCATGTTGAGCTTTTCTGATAACCCTTGTGTCTTGCTGCTAAAACTCAGCAGAGAGCCGCTCCACCTCCTCCCTCCACTCCAGCGGAAACGTTTCCCCTTTTGCTTCACAGATACGATGCAGGACGCAGAAGATAGCTATAACCACTGGGATATTTTCTAACTGAGATCCAATCTTGTGAGTAAACAATGCCTGCATCCCTTCAATCTACCAACAGCACATTCAACTGTCATTCTGCACCTTCTGAGCCAGTACATGAATCTTGGTGCTATCGAGGTGGCTGGTGCACAGCTTCATGAACCAGGGGAATAAGGGGTAGGCTGGGTCCCCTGCGATCACTACTGGCATTTTAACATTGCCAATAGTAACTCGCCGGTATGGAAAGAAAGTCCCTGCTTGCAGCTTTCTGAACAGTCCGGTATTCTTAAAGGTGTGAGCATCATGCACCTTCCCTGACCAGCCAATGTTGAGGTTAGTGAAGCCTACCCAGTAATCCACCAGTGCTTGCATAACCATAGGAAAATAGTGCTTTCTGTTGATGTTCTCTGTGGCAAGGTGGTCTGGTGCCAAAATAGGGATGTGCATGACATCTATTCCTCCACTGCAGTTCGGGAGTCCCATAGCCGCAAATCCATCCACTATGTCCTGCATGTTGCTGAGAGTCACAGTCCTTTGTAGCAGGAGATGATTAATGGTCCTGTATACTTGCATGACAATGGTCTCCACAATGGATTTTCCAATTCCAAAATGATTTCCCACTGACTTATGGCTTTGGAAGTTTCCACAGTGAAGTCACCACTTGCTTCTCCACTATCAGTGCAGCTTTCATTCTGGTGTTCCTGTGCTGGAGGTCTGGGGCAAGAGCAGCACTCAGATCCAGGTATGTTGCCTTGCACATCCCAAATGTTCTGCAACCATGCTCGTCCCAAACCGGCATTACAATGCAATTCCACCAGTCGGTGCTCATTTCTCGGGCCTAGAAGCAGCACTCCGCCATTTGCAGCTGCTCTGTGAACGTTGCCAGTAACCTTGAATTGTCCTCCAGCAATCTGCCCTTCAGGAAATGATCATGTTCCTTGTGGCTCTGCAAGTACTCGAGGATTGTGCGTCCTGTGCTTGCAACATTCAGAACAATAGTGCAGGCTCCATGATTCTGTTAGAGATGGTGGAAAGTGACAAGTCCCACTTGGGTTTGAGTATGAAAATTATGGGATAGAGATGGCATTCATAGAATATCAGGGTTGGAAGGGACCTCAGGAGGTCATCTAGTCCAGGTGGAGAAAGTTGCAGTCACCCCTGCACAACTCATTTCTTCCCACCATAAAACTTCCCAAAAGACAGTGCATTGGATGATGGTGAGTTGTCCTGCACTGCCCATCAACACAAGCACTCCTGGTGAGTATGTGCAGTGCTGACACAGAGAGTGAAGTATGCATGTGCACAAGCAATATACTAACTGCAGTGGCTTTATGCTGGTGTAAGTTGTGTCAGAAAAAAATTGGTATTGTAGACATACCTTAAGTCATTGAAAGTAAGTGGGACTTACGCTGCTAAGTCTCTTGGGTGCTTTTGAAAATTTTACCCACAGTCTTTTTTTCAGAAGCAGCAGCTGACGCTGTACTCTGTGCAGCCAGCCAGTAATGAGGAGGTGAGGAATGGTAGTGTTCAAGAAGTGAGTTGTGTCCCCTTTCTCCAAGTGACAAAGACTTATTTTCTTCCAGACAATGCTGTTTCCTCTAGGGAAACACATGTGCTATGTTTATAACAGCGTTCAGGGTGTTGCAACATCTCCATACTAGAGAGTGTTCCTTCTATTTTGGGATTTGAAGGAAGAAAACCCACTGTAGTCAGCTATGTGGCAACACACAAAATGGTTGTGTTGCATATTTACGACAAAGCAGAGTTCACACAACTGGAATCTTACTGCTTTTCAGCGGATGTTTATTGGAGAAAGCAATATGTATTTAGGAGGGAGCATTGCAGAAAACATTATGTTCTGTTCTCTGAATTTCCTAATCAAAATGTAGTTTTGTCATCACACATGGCTGATATCTGGAAGCAACAAACATAGCCTAAAAAATATCAAACTGTTTACTGCTTGCTTCATGCATCATTCCTGAAAAATGCTCATGCTGAAATCTGAACTTTCTGCTTTTGCTGGGCCATGAGATGCAGTGTTTATAGAAGACCTCTTCATTTTCCCCAGCCCCACACAAGCCTGGTTGATGCTGTAGGAGTAAAGGTGGCAAAATGTATCTTGACAGCTAATGCTAAACAGTTATGACAAAAAGATCATCACGCTAATGTGTATGTAAGCGGGGGAATGGTCCCGCTATTGTGGGGAACTTTCCGGGCTTCTGCACTACCCCGGTGAAGTGGGCTAGCGAAAGGATCTGAGTCCTCGCTCCCACTTCCTTTACCCAGAGGCCTCCCTGCCCTTGAGGACTCCCCTTCCACTCTCCTGTCTGGCAGAGTCCTCGTAACCCCAACAAGGCTGGGCCCAGGATTCCTGGGGGGCTCAACCCCCAACCCTGCTGTGGTCACCTAGGACAGGGGCTAGGGTGTCCCCACTCCGGGGTACTCTCTCTGTACTGGGCACCTCCCTGACCCACTGATTATTCCATACAATTTAAAACAAATGCAAGTTGTTTAATTAACAATCAATCTAAAGAAAAGAATAAGGAAAAATGGGAAAGGTTAAAGGAAAACACATCATCCCGCTTTGTGGCAGGGAACATCACAAACAGTGTCTCTGGACATCAGGGCACTTCACAGTCTGTTCCTTGTTAGTCCCAGATTTCCGTCTCAGGCCCTGGCTGTGCTGCAGGGATGCTGCGGGTTGGAGACTTGCAATGGTGGTGGCCACACACCTCCGGGCTTTGAGTGGTGGGACCCTTCTTCCCAGCGTCAGCCCCCCGTAGGGTTAAGGTCCCCCTCCTGGTCTGGCCTGCAAGGGCCCTTGTCTGGGGGTGTCTTTCTGTGCTGGGCCCTTTGCCCAAGGTCCCCCCCTTGGCTGATCCCACTTGCTCACCACACCTGGCTCTGTGGCTGCGTCTCTGCTCCCAGCACACGATCTGCTCTCCCTGGGCTGCGTCTCTGGCTCTGTGGCTGCGCCTCTGCTCCCAGCACACGATCTGCTCTCCCTGGGCTGCGTCTCTGACTCTGTGGCTGCGTCTCTGGCCCCTCTGGATCTGGCACGGTTCTGCTCTCCAGCTCAGCCTGGGCCCCTGCTCTCTCCTTAGCTCGGCCCCACTCAGTCTGACCCAGGCAATTCCAGCTCACACGGAGGACGGGACCTCCCTGGCCTCCTGACCCTCTGATTAGCCTGCCCGCCCTGTCAATCAGGCTGATCTGGAGCATTGGCCTCTCACCATTGTTCCTGGGGACTGTCAGTCTCAGGCTCCTGATTTGCCATCGACCCTTCCCCTTTTAGTACTGGGAGCAAGCCAATCAAAACACCCCCACTGAATGTTAGTAAGGGGGCAACAGTCCCCTTACATGTAGCAATAATGTTTTTGTGAATTTGCTGTCCGGAACACCCAAAAAATTCTTAATGTTATCAAGCTAAATATTAAAAAGTAAGCAAAACTGAGTACTACTAGCTTGCATTATTGAACTGAACCAGTGAAATAATTAAAATGTTTATTTAATTGCTCTGATGTGATGTTCTAACAGTGAATTTTCCTTCTTTTTTTTAATCAGAAAAAACCATTGTCTGCAATAATAAAAGAAGTTTGCGATGGGTAAGTTCTGATACTATATTTCCTTTGATTCTTAAAATAAATAACAGAGAGAAATGGTGGCTGTGGTAATACCTTTTAGTGAACCAACTTCTGTTGGCGAGAGACCAAGCTTTGGGGAACCTTGTTTTCCAGACCTGAAGAAGAGCTCTGTGTAAGCACAAAAGCTTATCTCTCTCACCAATAGAAGTTGGTCCAATAAAAGATCACCAACTTTGTGTCTCTAATAGCCTAGGATTGACACAGCTACAACACTGTATAAAATAAATAACAGACATACAGATTTTCTACAAGATAAATAAAATATCCCTAGTGATGACTTTCCTAAATTCTGAAGTTGATTTTCAAAAAGGTTTTATCTTCAGACTTAGGGCTTGGCTACACTTGCAAGTTAGAGTGCATTAAAGCACTCCCGGGTGCCCTAACTCCCGATGTGTCCACACTGGCAAGGCATGTAGAGCGCCTGGACTCTGCAGCTGGAGCGTTCCTGGTAATCCACCTCCATGAGAAGCATAAAGCTTGCTGCGCCCCGGCTAAAACGCCCGGGCGTCAGTGTGGACAAGGTGTTGCATTACTGCGCTGTGATTGGCCTCTGGAAACATCCCATAATCCCTGAAGTCAAGTGGCCACTCTTCTCATTGTTTTGAAATCGGCTGTCCGGGTTTTAGAGATGAATTTTAACTGTAGAGTGCAACCACTTTACTGAGCATCTCTCTCAGTTCACAAGTCAAGAAACATAAACTGTGAATTGTATTTCTAAGCCTGGTGGCTGTTGTGCAAACACCTAATCCGTGGAACAAGCAGCACGGAAGTGAAATGTTAAACATAACCTGGTATAATAATTGCTTAACAATCAGAATAAACTCTGTCATATTGTAATATTTAAACAGCATGTTTAATGTTTGCAAAAAATGCTCTTTTAATGCATTTTTAACTAGTGATACAGAAGGACAGAAACTAGTTTACAGTTCATTAAACTACAGCTAAAATATAGTAAAAGGCATGTAGATTTTTGTAGTACTGTTTTTTTATTTGTTAATGACAATCTGTGCGCCTGGTGCTGTAGGAGTCACCAAGACAAGCTTCCTGCCCAGAGAGTTTTCCAGCATAATGGTCTTATGTTATAGGCACACATCTGTTATAATGAGTTCAGTGTATCCTACTTGTTATAGTGGAAACTACACTTAGTAGTGTTGATAGGATGGGACTGTTCTGGAATTTTTGTCTGGTTAGTTTTTGACTATGATGTAACTACCATTTAGGATTTATCTGTAATAAAGTAATTTTGTTTTCATAAAATGCTTTATATTGAATGTTGACATTAATGTAATGGAAGGTGATCAGAAGATTTATTTTTGTGTTTTAAACCTTGGGATTTGAAGGAATATATTATTGCATTGTTTCTATCACTCAATTGTCAAATTGAGGGCTCTCCATTTCAAATCGTTGGGGGGGGGGGGGCGGAGGAGAGGAGAAAGGGAACAATATTCCGTTAAATGAGTTGTGGGGATTTTGTACTTTTCTCTCTTCTCCTTTTCTCCTTGGATGTATGATTGTTTTTTCTCATTGTTGAGTGGACATGTTGAAATCTATAGATAGGACAGTACATGAGACAGATGGACTCTTGATAAACACCAATAATGAGGCTTCTTTTTTTCTCTTTCACTTTCTTATTCATATATTTTCATATTTTTAAGGTGGTCTCTTATGAACCATGAATATTATGCACTGCAACATGCTGATAGTTCCAATTTCTATATCACAGAAAAGGTAGGTAAACCACTTGACATGACTTTTTTGCATATTCTATTTCAAATGTTATTGGACTAACAGGCTGGTTTTGAAGCTAATTTAGAGGAAAATTTTAATTTTAAATTTTCATTTTGGAGTACTTGGACCAACCAGGTTGTAATGGGTCAGGCTTGCGTCATCTAAACTCTGGCTGGAAACACTGTCATAACATACAGGAGTGTAATTGAAATATCTGAGTGCTTTTTTAGTGAAGCTTCCCATTAGGCAAGGATGGTCAATGTACTGAACTGATTTCTTAATTAAATAATATTTCTGAGAGCAATTAATTGCAGCAAATTCTGTTCAGACTTAGAGCTACTTCACTGCCACTAAAATCAGTGAAAAATAAAGATGATAGCACTAATGGTAGCATCAGTGGCATTTTTACCATTGTGCCATCTAACCCTGGTTAGACTTAAGCACAATATGTAGATGATTACACATTGTTACCCCTTTTTGGCTTGAGTGGTTAGCTAAAATTCAGTATCCTGTGTGGTGGTTCCATTAGGAGGTGAAATTGATGATAGTCAATTGACAATAGCAAGCTCTGTCTTTGATGAAATCCTGCTTGTTTATGTTCAAAGTCCTATCTGCTAGGATACAGGAGAATTCAAACAGGAGACAGTTTCTTTGACTTTGCCCACAGTTGCTAGACTCTTTCAGGATTTTAGTTTTTTTCCAGTGCTTCCATGTCTGGTGCTGCCTTGCTGTCTACCTTCTCCTTTGGTCTTTTCTCAGCACAGAGCACACCCTTCTGCTAAAACAATACTCAGTGAAGCCCCTCTGCCCACATAGTTGAAATTCCTGCCTCACAAGTGCCTTTGGTTTGGGTGATGACATATGCCAGTGTTTTGGTTGGAGGTCCCTTTTGTTTCTGCTATCTGATTCCATTAAGGAGCTTAATGGCTTCTTATAACTGTCCTAAATGAAAGACTTTGTTTTTGAGAGCAGTTTCAATGAGGTGTAGCCCAACCCACGACAATATAAAATCAGTGGAGACAAAAAAATATTTGCTGAACAATATGATTCACCTTTTTTTGCAAGGAATTCACAGTTCAGGCGGAAATGATCATAAACGAAGTCTTATAATACATGTGGTACACAACCTCACACACTGATCTTACATATTTCTGTTTTGTGGAGCCAGTTCAACTGAGGATACAGTTAATCTTATCTCTGAATTTTGTTGTCTTATTTTGGTTTGTGTGCAAACCTTTCCATTATTTAAACACTTTTTGTTTTTTGTTTTGTTTTTTTGGGGTGGGGGGGAGAGAAAAAATGGGCAGGGTGAATTGATGGGGGCTAGAGGTGCTGTCATATTTTGAACTTGACAGTGTACTGTGTGACTACATGGAAGAGTCCAAGTTTCCAAGGGAGAGCAGGGGCGCAAAATATAAACATTAACTAACTGCATAAACTAGCTATGAACATAAAAGTTAGGGAGAAATTAGCCCTTATTGATGACTTTTTTTCATTAAAATTTGTTTCCTTGTTTTCAGAATTACAGTGGTAATTGGTTTTAAAATGTAAAATAAGAGTTCTGATGGTGCCCACGGTCTTGATGTTTATGAAGCTCATTTAGTCTTCAGACATTCAGTCCCTCTGCTGCTGATGTTTGTGCACATACATGTTCACTGGGAAGCAGGATAGAGGAAATTAAAACATGTAAGATGTACAGTTTTGTTGAAGGCTAAAGAAAGCTTCAGTACACCACTTCCCTTTTTTCTACGTGACTGAGCTAGTAGAAATTAGCTGCAAGGACTGTGTAATACTTGCCACCTCACTGCTACATGCTGCACTTCTGCTCCAGCTTTGCACGTGTGATGTTGGTTTAAGTTGTTTTGGGGCCCAGATGCCGTGGCAATGGGCAGTTCACAAAAACATGTAATTGCATGAGCTTAGATTGTAATTAATTGTAACTATAATAAAAATGGGAAACTTCCTAATTAAGCGGGATACACTCATTTAAACAATTCAAAGGTTTGCATTCCTGTCTAGTGTAATTCTGCTGAGCTCACTGAAATGACAACAGCGATGAATTTGGCCTAAAGAATGCAGTTGGTATGTTGCTACAAAGGCAGTACTCTTAACCTGTGCAGTAAGGGCCTGATCCAGAATTCAATGAAATCAGTGGGAAGACTCCCATTAATTTCATGTGCATTTATTTATGAGGCTAACTGGGCTGCACACAGGAAAATAATGTAACTAAATTCCCAAGTGATAAAATATCTCTAGATACTGTCTTAATCAATGTCAAAGTGTTAAATGGATCATTATAAGTAATGTATTTTTATTTAGTGAAAATGATTTGGCTGGGTTTTATGTAGGTTAGTTAAAATTTTCTGTCAAAATTGTTTTTGTAAAAATTTGCAGTTTTGGCCAAATAAAAGCGTCTGCTTTCCAAAGAAAATTTCAATTTTTCATTGAAAAACGGAACACTTGACAGCCAGAAAAGTTTCTGGAATATTTTGATTCAGATATGTGACATGGTACCTTGTGTTCCCTCGCTCTTCTATGGGCTGGGCTTCCTGGCTGGACTACATCTCCCATGATGCACTTCCTATTCCCTAGGAAGACTGTGGTGCATCATGGAAGATGTAGTCTAACCAGGGAACCTTGCCAAATGGGAGCACGAGGCACCTGAATGACAACTCGCATGAGGCAGCACGGTGGCATTTCCAAATCAATATATTTTTGATTTTGGCTGAAATATTTAGGTTTTGGATTTTTTTCTGAAAAGTCAAAATTTTCTGGGTGAGTAGACAGCAGGGCCGGCTCCAGCATTTCTGCCGCCCCAAGCAAAAAAAAAAA